CAAATCTATGCAAAACTAGTCAATACAGAAGTCTTTTCTTTTATTACAGTGTTTTAGATCAATATTGAGGATTAGAATCTGTAATGAACGCAGAACAAAAGATTATTAACACTTTGAGAATGCAACAGATAAGAAGAAACACTATATAAGGAATACTGTGGCGTCTTTACAAGCTGTACGCCAATATCAACATTAATAAAAAAATAATGACTTGATATGTTTTTTAGACGGTAAGCCTGGTTCACGTCTAAAAAAAAGTCATCTTCTCCCACTGATGTCTGCTGTCGTTGTGTCCCTGGCATAGACTGTATATATTAATGGACAGAGTCACGCCTATCTCCGCCGTTCTAACTAATGGGCCAAAAAATGTGCTCTACTGGAGCAATCCAAAATGGCCGCGAGTGGTCCCGCCCACAAGAAAATTGTGAAAAAACGCATCTGTCCATGCGTCAGCCGGCGCAGCTCCATTCATTTGAACAAGAGACTTCAAAAATTCACAGCAAGTAAACTAGAATGGACCAAAAAAATCCACCCCCCTTAGCATTGACACACATGTGGAACGGAACTTTGGGCCAAGAGACACTTTTGGTCCATCCTGTAAAGACGTTTTTTGAGAAGTCTGCCAATGCTATATGTTAGAATTGGCTAATTCTACTTCTGGGTCCACCCCCATCGGCCCGGGGTGGTATTGCAGCATGTCAGCGCACGTCATTTTGGACACTTTTGAGCTGGGACCCTCCCCCACTGGTCCCTGGGCAAGACACTTAGCCCCGCTTTGCCTGAAATCCCGGCTGAAAGATCAAGGCTGTATCTGTAATGAAGGAGCAGCCATCTTCCCGAGGACCCACCCCCTGCAGGAGGATCAGAGGGACTGGTGCTGTGTGAACTGGGTAGCAACTCTGACTGCCACTCCCCTGACCCAGAAATGGATCAATAAAGGGATGAAAATGAATGAATGAATGAGCCTGGTTTGCACGGCAGGATAATTAGGCCGATTTAAGACCCAATTCACTCTTGACGACAATCTTAAAAACGCTCAGATTTTGCGTGGTGTGTTAAGACTGCGTCGCTCAGAAGGACTTTGGGGCTGCTCCGATCTCAAATCTGGGATATTCAACATGTTGGATTGTTTTGGCCCCATTTCTCTTGGTGTTTGGTGTCGGGGACAGACTACGGCCTGTAGCCAATCAGAAGACAAGGAAACTCCAAACAGTCAGCGGCACAGCAGAAAGTCCGGTGGACGTCGGAGATGGAGGAAAGTCAGAGCTTGCATTGTCTCCACTTCTTTGACCATTGCCTTTTCTTTTGATAACGCTTTTTCTCTGTAAAAAACAAACCGCCTCCGCTGCATCCTCTTCGTCCGCCATTATGGTTCACTCTGAAGTCACGCTTGTTCTCGAGAGATTGAGTCTATTTGGGATGTGTGTGTTTTGCGTGATTTTGTCTTGACCAATGTGGTTAGACCCTTGATTGGTTATCTCCTTGTGTGGGGTCTCTCAGGTTTGGAGAATCTGCGATAATTTTGAAATCGTCTCGTGTGAACCAGACTTTAGTTAGATGTATTTACTCATCGTTTGATTTGGTAACATGTTATTTATCCACTGATGTTACTTCCTGGTGGGCGTGGCCAATGAAAATAACCACAAACATGTTTTTTTATCCAAGACAAATGAACCTTTTTGAATGAAATGCTTGATGTATCTGTATCTGCGAGTAATGAGTCCATATCATATAAAAGCATTGTTGGAATCTTCTGGAAAAGCCACAGAGATCCACAGACAGATCGAGAGAAACGACAGAATTATAAATAGAACTTGTTTGTGAAGAGTGAGTTTTGAAGTGATAAGTGTCGCAGCTCGTTTTGGTCTTTCTGACAGACACAGGGGTTTTCACACCTCAGAGACACGGGCTGAGGGTGCGAATACATAACAAGTGGAAAACATGTGCACAAAGAAGACTGCCCTTTAAAGCTTAGGTACCCAACTTTTAAACCTTCAGAGTCTACAGCATCACAGTCTAAGTCCTGCACCGCGTGGCCTTGGTCCTCGTTCTACAGTCTGAGTCCTGCGCCGCGTGACCTTGGTCCTCGTTCTACAGTCTGAGTCCTGGATCTACAGTTGTGGGGTTGAGTGTCTTTCCCAAGGACACAACAACAGCAGACATCAGTGGGAGTCGGTGAAGAGAGTTGGTGTTGGGATCGAACCCTCAACCTTCAGGCTCAAAGACCAAGGCTCTACCAACTGAGTCACTGTCGCCCACATGGTCCAGTACCATGTGTTCTAAACTGTTGATTCTCTGATCTGTGTTGGCGATTTCAACGGTTTTGTTAAGTCCTCTGTGAAAACTACTGTTGTTATTTAGTGTGAGACAAGAATAGATGGAATTGAATCAACAGCCGACGTCTGGGAGGACTTTACAAAGTTTTATACATAATAAAATAGTTCCTTTCTTTCCAAAGTTTGGTCTTAGTTTCACATGCATTTTTTACGTCTTATCTCTTTATCAACTTTTTTTATCAGACCCGATACCAAAACTAATTAATGCACAAAAAACAGACAATGTTATGAGGAATATTATGTTTAAAACTTTGGAGCACCAACAAAATATTGAGTTAAAATAACCTACTTATTGTGCAGGAACCTTTTCTAACTGTATAAAAATAGTTTCAAATTTGAATATCACTCATGACAACACAATTTCCTGATTAAAAAAAAGGTGATTTATACATATTTCTTGACATATTGACTCTTAATGATCTAAAATAATCTATACTAATGCTTGCATAGAAAACTACAGATGCCCAAACTCACCTCGGGACAGACCTGGAACCTTTCTCTGAGCTTACAAAGCCAATGTCATGTCCCATGTTTATGTATATTCTTGTAACGTCTGCTCCATAGATTCTGTTTGTGTCTCTGTGGACAATGAAAGCTTGGTGTCTACTCATTCTGTCTGATGAGTTCATAAGTAAGGGATAACGTATAGTACGCAGGTCATTATCGGAAAATAAGTACCGACAGGGCGAAGCTGCTTCCGCCCTAATATACGTTATCCCGCTTATTATACGGCTTTATACCAACAGAACACACAACATAAACTTCAGTCCACTTTTAGGAATGCCCAAAGGTTTATTTAATGACAGAAAATAAAATAGTTCCCAAAGGCTTTCCCGTGGCTATGCTAGCAACAGTTAGGCTAGCAACTTCCAAACTAGAACTCTCTGGAACTGCATGAAAACTGAACACAGAATCCTGAACATCAGCGGTGAGTGACCCAAACATAAACTTAACCTAAATCCATAATTCGATCCTCTGCAAATGTGTCCGAAAATGTGCCGGTATCTGCTTCCGGGTTTTTCTCGCATTACATCAGTGTTTTTGTCATGAAAACGTAAACGGAAATTCTGAAAACTTCCGTGCACTTGTATTGAGAATGTATATGTATAATGTACTCTCCGATTAACATTTCATTGCGTTGATTTATTTGCATTTGCGTTTAATGAGCGTGGCTAGCTCCGGAGTGTCCGGAAATACAAGCAGAGAGTGCGTTGCCAAAGGGCAGCGGTCATTATTGTTTTGAGAGGTCCGTTATAGAAAATAATGACCGGTAGAACGTTTTGAAATTACATTCAAATCAATGGAGCGTTCTACTGCTGCTGTGAGGAGCCGTGTAATAATACATACTAATACTTAATAATAATAATACTCCAGATGATGTGGTGGGTCTGCAGAGTCTCTGGCGTCTCTGAGAAGTTTCCTGAATCTTTCCATAATGCATAAGTCTGGGCACCCTGTGGACAGTTGTTTTAGTGGAGGATTTCCATTGCACTCACGCACACAGAGGTCTGATGACGCACACAGACGAGCAAGGGGAAACCAAACGCTGGGATGACCTTTGAGGATGCTACACAAATCACAATAATGTTTATACAACGTCTTGTGAGCTGCAGATTATACACACATTCAGAAAAGTATGGATCGATCGTGAATCAAGTCAATGTCTGAGGCGCGGCTGATTAGAAAGAGGCAGACAGTCAAAGCAATTATGAAAAGCATTGGAGCTGAAAAAGAGACCCTTCATTGCGTTGATAAGTAGGGACGATAAGAAGAAGCAGTGGCAGAGAATAGTCAAGGTTTTTATGAGCTTTGGCAGCGGAAAACATCTGTATAGATTGTAAAGTTGTCAAGAACTGTAAGTATGTTTTTGTGCGTTAAAGGAGCACATCTCATCAGGTCAAAGAACTAAAAACAGAGGAATTCAGAAAAACATCAGATCGCTATGGTGCAAGACATGTGGTTCTGTAGATGTGGTTCTGTAGATGTGGTTCTTTAGCTGTGGTTCTGTAGATGTGGTTCTGTAGCTGTGGTTCTGTAGCTGTGGTTCTGTAGATGTGGTTCTTTAGCTGTGGTTCTGTAGATGTGGTTCTGTAGATGTGGTTCTTTAGCTGTGGTTCTGTAGATGTGGTTCTGTAGCTGTGGTTCTGTAGATGTGGTTCTGTAGATGTGGTTCTGTAGATGTGGTTCTTTAGCTGTGGTTCTGTAGATGTGGTTCTGTAGCTGTGGTTCTGTAGATGTGGTTCTGTAGATGTGGTTCTTTAGCTGTGGTTCTGTAGATGTGGTTCTTTAGCTGTGGTTCTGTAGATGTGGTTCTGTAGATGTGGTTCTTTAGCTGTGGTTCTGTAGATGTGGTTCTGTAGCTGTGGTTCTTTAGCTGTGGTTCTTTATCTGTGGTTCTGTAGATGTGGTTCTTTAGCTGTGGTTCTGTAGATGTGGTTCTGTAGCTGTGGTTCTGTAGATGTGGTTCTGTAGATGTGGTTCTTTAGCTGTGGTTCTGTAGATGTGGTTCTGTAGCTGTGGTTCTGTAGCTGTGGTTCTGTAGCTGTGGTTCTGTAGCTGTGGTTCTGTAGATGTGGTTCTGTAGATGTGGTTCTTTAGCTGTGGTTCTGTAGCTGTGGTTCTGTAGATATGGTTCTGTAGATGTGGTTCTTTAGCTGTGGTTCTTTATCTGTGGTTCTGTAGATGTGGTTCTGTAGCTGTGGTTCTGTAGATGTGGTTCTGTAGATGTGGTTCTTTAGCTGTGGTTCTGTAGATGTGGCTCTTTAGCTGTGGTTCTGTAGCTGTGGTTCTGTAGCTGTGGTTCTGTAGATGTGGTTCTGTAGCTGTGGTTCTGTAGATGTGGTTCTGTAGCTGTGGTTCTGTAGATGTGGTTCTGTAGCTGTGGTTCTGTAGATGTGGTTCTTTAGCTGTGGTTCTGTAGATGTGGTTCTGTAGCTGTGGTTCTTTAGCTGTGGTTCTGTAGATGTGGTTCTTTAGCTGTGGTTCTGTAGATGTGGTTCTGTAGCTGTGGTTCTGTAGCTGTGGTTCTGTAGATGTGGTTCTGTAGCTGTGGTTCTGTAGATGTGGTTCTTTAGCTGTGGTTCTGTAGATGTGGTTCTGTAGATGTGGTTCTGTAGCTGTGGTTCTGTAGATGTGGTTCTTTAGCTGTGGTTCTGTAGATGTGGTTCTGTAGCTGTGGTTCTGTAGATGTGGTTCTGTAGCTGTGGTTCTGTAGATGTGGTTCTTTAGCTGTGGTTCTTTAGCTGTGGTTCTGTAGATGTGGTTCTTTAGCTGTGGTTCTGTAGATGTGGTTCTGTAGCTGTGGTTCTGTAGCTGTGGTTCTGTAGATGTGGTTCTGTAGCTGTGGTTCTGTAGCTGTGGTTCTGTAGATGTGGTTCTGTAGCTGTGGTTCTGTAGATGTGGTTCTTTAGCTGTGGTTCTGTAGATGTGGTTCTGTAGCTGTGGTTCTGTAGATGTGGTTCTGTAGCTGTGGTTCTGTAGATGTGGTTCTTTAGCTGTGGTTCTGTAGATGTGGTTCTGTAGATGTGGTTCTGTAGCTGTGGTTCTGTAGATGTGGTTCTTTAGCTGTGGTTCTGTAGATGTGGTTCTGTAGCTGTGGTTCTGTAGATGTGGTTCTGTAGCTGTGGTTCTGTAGATGTGGTTCTTTAGCTGTGGTTCTGTAGATGTGGTTCTGTAGCTGTGGTTCTGTAGCTGTGGTTCTGTAGATGTGGTTCTGTAGCTGTGGTTCTGTAGATGTGGTTCTTTAGCTGTGGTTCTGTAGATGTGGTTCTGTAGATGTGGTTCTTTAGCTGTGGTTCTGTAGCTGTGGTTCTGTAGATGTGGTTCTTTAGCTGTGGTTCTGTAGCTGTGGTTCTGTAGCTGTGGTTCTGTAGATGTGGTTCTTTAGCTGTGGTTCTGTAGCTGTGGTTCTGTAGCTGTGGTTCTGTAGATGTGGTTCTTTAGCTGTGGTTCTGTAGCTGTGGTTCTGTAGATGTGGTTCTTTAGCTGTGGTTCTGTAGCTGTGGTTCTGTAGATCATAACTACTGCTGTGATTTAGGGCGATACAATATTCTGTCCGTTGCGATAAACATGTTTTATTCTTTATGAAACAAAAGTTAGATACCCCAGTTTTAACTTAGATACCCCAGCTTTAACTTAGATACCCCAGTTTTAACTTAGATACCCCAGCTTTAACTTAGATACCCCAGCTTTAACTTAGATACCCCAGCTTTAACTTAGATACCCCAGCTTTAACTTAGATACCCCAGCTTTAACTTAGATACCCCAGCTTTAACCTAACATGACCATGCTTTGTTAAATGACTATCTAAAGAAGTTTCCAAAATGAACAACATGGAAAAGTTTGTTGCTATAAATAGGAGACAAAATGTTTTTTAAAGGACAGTGTTTTGAAGCTACAGTCACCTCTCTCCTCTCAGCTCCCATAATGCACCTGTGTCCTCCCATAATGCACCTGGGTCACAGAGGGCGCTTCACAATGTTCCCTTTGTATCACCTGCTCTTCAGATTCTTCACTCTGACTTAAAGCTATCTATTTACAGTATACTGTCTCTGTTTGAACTAATGGTGAAGTTTGTTTATGAGGCAGCGTGTTAGCTACATTAAAAAGTTGCTATTCCAGATTTAGCATCACGCTACGGAGTGACAGTGGCCCAGTTGGTAGAGCATTGACCTTTGAGCCTGAAGGTCATGGGTTCGAGGCCACAACAAGACTTTCTCGACCAACTCCCACTGACGTCTGCTGTCGCAGTGTTCTTGGGCAAGACACTTAACGTCAGATAGACAGGTGCCACAGTGGGGCGGCTGCGGCTGTAAAGTGCCAAACTGCTGTTGTGTCCTTAGGCAAGACACTTCACCCCCATTAGAATGAGTCTGGTGTGTGTGTGAATGGTTGGTGGTGGTGGGAGGGGCCAATGGCACAGACTGGTTGCCTCGCTTCTGTCAGTGTGCCCCAGGGCAGCTGTGGCTACAGTAGTTTATCACCACTGTGTTTGGAGAAAATGAATAATGACAAAAAAAGCACTATATAAACCGATGCATTATTATTATTATTAGTTTAAATCCGTAGTCCCCACCACGGTGCCACCTTCCGGCGCTAATGTGTATCCATCCATCTATCTATCTATCTATTTCTATCTCTCAAAACAGTCTGGTCTTACAAATGTACAAAACAGTGGTTAAGAGGCCGACAGAGTTGTTCACACAGTTGTTCAAATGTTATTGTAATTGTGTGAAATGTCTTTTATCTGTAAAAACCACACTGCAGCCGCTGGTTTGTCCAATGTCTATATTTACAGCTTTTCTCAGTGGCTTTGGTGCATTTCTCACATGACTATAAACATTTACCCAACAGTTAATGCATTTCTGTAAATAAACATGATTTCTAATTAGATAAAGACATATATTGTGGTATGAATTGGTTGCTTGCTGTGAACAAACCAAACATTCTTGGGTCCTCTTCACATCAGATCCGACACGTGGCCAAATACATGTGTCTCACTTTGTAAAGCAATTTCTCAAACACCAGAGAAATGTCTTGGCGGATGAACGAACGAACAGGGACTTTCTCTGTTACTATGGAGACAAATGGAAAACTTAAATAAGCAAAACGGGAAGCTCTCCGATACAATGCACACCCATTATCAATGACGCACTGAAATCACGCCGCGTTGGTTAAGTGGCTGCTGCTCGGTTCACAGCCAGAACAAACCATTAGGATGGATTCTCAAGACTGAAAAAGACGTCTCACTTCTTTCATCTTTAACTGTGGGGTTTTTCTCCCAAATCAGGAAATATATTTGAACATTTCTGTGGTGAATTTGAGAAACTCTTTACCACAAGTTTGAGCAAATGTTTCTGAGTGTTTAGGTAAGTCTTGGCACCAACATTAATGTCACGCATTATGTTTTCTGATGAGAACCTGGTCTCACCTGGACACAGCAGGAGCGGAGATAATGACAGAAGTAGGACAGACGACAGCGGCGTTCAGGATCCTGTGGGAGAATCTGTGGTCACAATGAATCATCCTCATTAACCAATCAGAAACTCAGACTCACTACAGAACTTTAAAGCTCTGCTCAAAACCTCCTGTTTCAGCCTTTCCTTAGTTTTGTTCTTCAATGTTTATTTCTATGTGTTTTGTAAAGCGCCTTTGAGTGTCCAAAAAAGCGCTATATAAGTTTGATGCATTATTATTATTATTATCTCCACTTGAGCATCCCAGCAGACAATAGGTCTGTGACATGCTAAGGAGTTAGGGTCGTTAGCCTCAGCAGGGTCGTTAGACCTGCTCCCTTCTACATCAAGC